GAAAATATTTCTACCCACCCAGATCAAGTCTTTAAATGTGTATTAAAATCAGACTCCTTTTCTATGTTAAGAATTAGGTACTTACAGTCCAATAGCATGTTGAAAAGTAGGAAGTGTATTGTTGCCTGAAGAAAAGTCATCCAAACCACCATGAGATACCACCTCACACCAGTGAGAATGGGGAAAATTATCAAGGCAGGAAACCACAAATGTTGGAGAGGATGCGGAGAAAAGGGAACCCTCTTGCACTGTTGGTGGGAATGTGAACTGGTGCAGCCACTCTGGAAAACTGTGTGGAGGTTCCTCAAAGAATTAAAAATAGATCTGCCCTACGACCCAGCAACTGCACTGCTGAGGATTTACCCCAAAGATACAGATGCAGGGAAGCGCCGGGACACCTGCATCCCGATGTTCACAGCAGCAATGTCCACAGTAGCCAAACTGTGGAAGGAGCCTCGGTGTCCATCGAAAGATGATGGATAAAGAAGATGTGGTCTATGTATACAATGGAATATTCCTCAGCCATTAGAAATGACAAATACCCACCATGTGCTTCGACATGGATGGACCTGAAGGGTATGATGCTGAGTGAAGTAAGTCAATTGGAGAAGGACAAACATTATATGGTCTCATTTGGGGAATATAAAAAATAGTGAAAGGGAATAAAGGGAAAAGGAGAAAAAAAATGAGTAGGAAATATCAGAAAGGGAGACAGACCATGAGAGACTCCTAACTCTGGGAAACGAACTAGGGGTGGTGGAAGGGGAGGTGGGCAGGGGGTGGGGGTGACTGGGTGACGGGCACTGAGGGGGGCACTTGGCGGGATGAGCACTGGCTGATATTCTATATGTTGGCAAATTGAACACCAATAAAAAATAAATTTATAAAAAAAAAGAAAAAAGAAAAGTCATCCAACTTTCATAAGCAGAAGAAAGGAAGAAACTATCAACTATCACATAATAGCTGAAACAGAGGACTTCATGGAACAGGTTTTTCAATAGTTTTCCTTTTTTAAGGAGCACTGGTAAGGCGCTTAATCTGTGTCTCTGAATTAACAAAGCCAGTGGAATCGTGGTGTCACCTATTTGTGGAGCACCGGGTGAGGATTAACACGATCTTGGTGGTAAATCGCTCGGAGAATCTCAGCTGAAGGCAGTGGGTGAGAAAGTGGTCAGCTAAGCGCCGATTACAATACGCTCACGTATGTGCAAATAAGTACACACACTTCTGACGTACACTTGTGTGTAGGGTGTGTCCTGACGGCTTCTACGTGTTCCTGTGTCGTCTGGAACAGGGTTCTCAACCTTCGCACTAGTGACATTTTGGGTCAGACAATTTGTTGTGTGGGCTGCCCTGGGCACCCCTGGTCTCTACTCACTAGATGCCAGGGGCACCCCTCACTTCAGCTGTGACAACCAAAAAATGTCTCCGGACATCATCCAATGTCCCTTGGAGGGCAGAAATCACTTCTGGTCTAGAACCACTGACATAGAGACTAAGGTAGAACTAATGGCGGGAAGTTAAAATATGAGAAAATTCATATATTAGGCTAAAAGGGAGCTTTTAAATTAAAAAGAGAATGAAACAGTTTTTATTCAAAGTGATAGCTCAAAGGAGACTTTTTTTTTTTTTTTAACTTGCTACTCTGGCCCCACAAATTTATACTGGAAGAAAAAAAGGACAAAAATAATGAAGATGATTTTGAATAAAATTGGCAGGAGAATTGCTCTTTCGATTAATTATTATATTAATTAAGGCAGAATTTTTTTTCCGGGAGGGCAAAAACTAAGTTTTTATTTGTGTGAAGGAATGTGCAATTATACATGCAAATTTTGAAATGTCTAGTATGAAAATTAGGAATTTCAACACATTGAACTCTGCAAAGACATTTACATTTAAATATAAATCCACTTACTAGTTAGGTAGTAAAGAAAATTTTACATGTCTAAGCACAAATACTTTATATAAATACCCTAAATGTTGAAAAGATAGGTGCTTATACGGACACACATATGCAACCACTACATACCAACAGGTAATTAGACCATATATTCTGAAATTTTCTTCCCAAATACCTAAATGGTATTTTTATGGAATTTTTATGTTAAAAAAAGTCACTACTTAACAGTCAAGACCTTACAATTTTTTATGTTAAAAAAGTTACTACTTAACAGTCAAGACCTTAAAAATAAACATTTTATGTATATTTGTTTGAACATTTAATGTTCATTTTAATAGCCTGACTTCTTTTTTCTTTGTTTCTTTTTTCTTTTTTTTTTTAATACCCCAAATTGTTAAGTAGTTATCTAGGGAATTGTTTTTTGAGATTTATTATTTTTTTAATAAATTTATTTTTTATTGGTGTTCAATTTGCCAACATATAGAATATCAGCCAGTGCTCATCCTGCCAAGTGCCCCCCTCAGTGCCCATCACCCAGGCACCCCCACCCCCCGCCCACCTCCCCTTCCACCACCCCTAGTTCGTTTCCCAGAGTTAGGAGTCTTTATGTTCTGTCTCCCTTTCTGATATTTCCCACTCATTTTTTCTAATGAAGGCAGAATGTTATTGAAACAGGACTAGACAAATTATCCAATGGATCATGATAAAGAACCTAGAAATATACACAAACACAAGATGCCCCTTAACCTTTGTAGGGTCTCGGGCAAGAGTGGAAACGAAAACCCATATGCCATTTAATCAAGCTAGCAAACAATGAAGCGAAATATGTTTCATCTTTTCATTTTGATATATGCACATTTACCTGTATATATATTTGGAAGGCAAGATCTGAATTTATAATTCTTGGATTCCTGGAGTTCTGTCTCAGGACGTGGTGCTATGGGAGGAGCAGACCTCAGCTCCAGCTCCCGAGTCTCAGCCTAACCCTGTTCTCTTTCCATCCCCGAGGGCCTCATGCGCACCTGTATGTGGACGCCGGGACCGTCGCCTGCACATCCTGGCTCCTTCCGTGGACAGCACAGCCCCCATACTTACTGCGGTGTGGTCTGCCCTTGGGGGGGCTTGCTGCAACCACACCAGTGCACCCACAGTTGTCTGGGCATAAGATTCTGGGATCCCGGGTGTCTATCGCTGGCTAGGTCTAAAGCTGGGACACGGGCTCCGGGTGGGTAAGTCTCTTGCGTCGCCATCTCCTCTCTTCATGAGAAGGTCTGTGGCTGGAGGGGAACAACAGCAGACCCCCTGAAGCACGGGGCCTAAGCTGGAGGCTCCCCCTTCTAGAAGTCTGTGGTGGCATCACACAACCGTACATGGAAATATTTTATATGGCAGAGTCTTTCAAACTAGTGGGGTAAAATAGGGGCATTCAACAACCAGTTTTAGAATAGTTGGTCATTTATATAGAAAAAATTAAGTTGTATCCTGTCCTTATAGCAGCACAAAATAAATTCAAAGCTGTATCAAATACCAAAATATTAGAAGGAAAGCTTTAAAGCTTTTGCTTTTCTTCTTCTTTTTAATATAAGAAAATGACCACAGTCCCAGAGAGAGTATCATGTGGAGCCACAGGGGAAAGTCAGACAGATGCAACATAAAATCTATCACCACAGGTTTATAATTGATATCCTGGTGAGAAGTTTAAAAGAATATTTAGTTGCTCTGTAAACATTCACCAGAATACAGTTTAGGGCCTCAATTCAAAGATCTTAATTTGTTTTAATGAACAACAGTAACCGTGATGGGCACCCTGCTGAGGCAGGATTGCTGGTCTCCCCTCCTCTTCAGACTTAGTTCCTATGTTAGGCTAATAAGCTACACAAGCTCCAAGAGGGTACGAAACGTTGTATTACTCACATAATGAAACTTTCTGGGGAGAGCAGGGCAGGCCCCCAAGCAGCTCAAAATACTTAGAGGCCCAGTCTAATCATGATAAAAAAAAAAAAAACATTAGAAAAACACCAATAGAAATATCAGAAAGGGAGACTGAACATGAGAGACTCCTAACTCTGGGAAACGAACTAGGGGTGGTGGAAGGGGAGGGGACGGGGGGTGGGGGTGACTGGGTGACGGGCACTGAGGGGGGCACTTGATGGGATGAGCACTGGGTGTTATTCTATATGTTGGCAAATTAAACACCAATAAAAAATAAATTTATATAAAAAATAAAATAAAATAAAATAAATAAAATAAAATAGAAAAACCCCAGTAGAATGGCATTCTACAAACTACCTGACCAGGACCTCTCAACATCGTCAAGATCGCTAAAACAAAGAGCGTCCGAGAAATTGTTGGGAGAGCCTAAGGAGATATGACACCTGAAGGTGGTCTTATCCTGGAGCAGAAAAAGGACATTAGGTAAAACTAAGAAAATAGGATTAAAGAAGGTACTTTATTTAATAATAATGTTCCGATATTGGTTTCTTAATTGCAATATATCTTACCAATTAAGATGTCAATAATAGGGGAAATTGGGTGCAAGACATAAATATTATACGGTCTTTGCAACTTTCTGTAAATCTAAAATTATCTGAAAAAATCTTATTTAAAATTCATATTAAAACTTTATTTTAAAAAAATAGAACCAATGGGTCAATGAAAGAGATGAAAGTCCTCGCACAGGGATTATTCTAAGGAAGTTTGGCACGTGAGAAGACAGTCTTGCCAATCGCCTGGGAAAATATTAGACTTCTTAACTTATATTACCAGGGCAATAGGTTTATTCATACTGAAAGCTTAAACATAGATGCTTATTCTCAGTGTTTACCAAAATACATTTTAAATGGATTAAAAACAAATGTGAAAAGCAAAACAAATAATTTAAAAGAAACTGTAGAAAATAACTTTCTAACTGGAGAAGAGAAGGCTCTTCTTAAATAAGATACGTATAGAATAAAAAAGAAAGGAGACATTAGTTTGATAAAAACTTAATGAGGATTAAAAGCTACTTTGATGAGGGTTTAAACCTAAACTCTTCTATTAAAAAAAAAACAAAATAAACAAAGGCAAAGACGGTCGTTTATCAGGACAATTGGACGCGGCTGCAAGTGTCAAAGGATTACAAATAGGAAGGTACAAGGAGATGGTAGTTTGACGAACAGAAGCCCAACAGCTCAACAGAAACATAAATGGGAAAACATGAAGAAGCAATTCAGAGAAGAAATTAAAAATATTCTCATTATCAATCAGGGAAATGCAGGCTTAAATCATCAAATACTGATTATCTGTTCACCAAGTGGGCCGAGATTATAGGAAAGTTGCAAATATCAATTGTTGGGGGAAAAAAATGAGGGTAAGTGAAAATGGTCGGTCATCCCGGTAGGAGCAGAGTGTGGCTACTGTCAGGGGTCACCTGGCGGCCGGGGGCTCTCACTCCCTAGCACCGTGGGCCGGGGCACTGCCGGCATCCGCAGGTGCCCCAGCGCAGGTGCCCCCAGCAGTGCCGCGTGGGCTCCTCGTGCACAGACGTTCTCTGCCACGGTTGGGAACTCAGGGAACAGGCATGTCATGGTGTGTCGTATTATGAATATATATTAAGGGAAACACATATACGGACGAAGCACGAACATAAACAAGGCAAAACTTAGAGTGAGACTTTCATTCCAGGTCGACCTCCCACTATCACATCCTTGAATCTGCTGGGATCGCATCCCCCCAGTGGTGTGTGGCGGAGGGCGGTGGAGACAGGGCCTGGGGCTGGGCGTTAGCCCTCTGGGGGTCCCAGTATCGGGGATGGTGTCGCTGCGCAAGGCTTGTGGCTGTCCTGTCGCCACCACGACTCCGAAGGCCTCAGGCCACTTGGTCACAGCCATGTCACCGGTTCCCGAACCCTGCACTATCCGTGTCACTTCTGCTCAGGGAAAACGGATTCTTTTCTTTTCTTTTTTTTTAAGATTTATTTATTTATTCATAGAGACACACACACACACAGAGAGAGAGAGAGAGAGAGAGAGAGAGAGAGGCAGAGACACAGGCAGAGGGAGAAGCAGGCTCCATGCAGGGAGGCCAACGCGGGACTCGATCCCGGAACCCTGGGGTCACGCCCTGGGCCAGAGGTGGTGCTAAACTTCTGAACCCCCCAGGGATCCCCAGAAAAAAGGATTCTATTTGCTTTTGTCCACATGGGATCTTAGACCTCATGTCTCTAGGACAGCCTCCCTGCTCCCTGCCATCAGGTCTCCTGAAGATTAGGAGCAAGACAGGTGTCACCCCGGGTCCGGGCAACAGGTGCTGGTGGCTGCCCCAGGTCCCCATGACCCCAGGGCCCCTCCTCAGGGATGCTCTGGTCCCGCGCCCCCCCAGGCCCCCTCCCCAGGGATGCTCTGGCCCCACACCCCCCAGGGCCTCTGAGGCTGGAGGCCACACTTGGGGTTCCTGGGGGGCTGCTCGGGGAGCTGCTGCCAGGTCGGCGGGTGGGAGGGGGGCGACCACAGGCAGCGAGCAGCACCCCGGGATGGGCGGTGTCCAGGCCCGAGGAGGGCCATTGTCTACACGTCTGTCCCGCCTGAGTCCGGGGGCCTCCCTCCCAGGCCCCCCTGGCTTTGCAGTGCCCAGACCCGTGGCCAGCAGATGGGGCAGGCCTGGCGCAGCCTCAGCAGATGGCCGTGGGCCGGGGGCTCAGTGCCAGGAAGACACAGGTCAGGTGCTCCCCGTGGCGGCTGGGGGCCATGCAGGTACTGCCCCTCATCTATGTGAACCCCGCCGAAGACCGCGGGATAAGCGTGCAAAGGCAGTGAGCGAGGCTTTAGAAAATAGCACCAAATGAATGAAGAAGGGAAAAATAACAACAACAACAAAATCCTGTGAGGATCATTTAGAATCTTCTATTGTCACCGGCGAGATTTTAGGCGTATAATTCCAAATAATGCATTATGTCCGGCTGCCTTTGCGTGTTTTTGCACAGGCACGCGGGTGCTGGCTGGTGCCGTGCTGACCCAACCTCCCTGGCGGCGCCAGCTGCACCCTAATGGGAAGGGCAGGAGGGAAATGCTGAGGACGTGTCCTCCACTGATCCTGCTGCCGCTGAATCAGAGTTAAACTAATTTTCCACCTTTAACAAAGTGGTGAGGTGACAGGGAATGGGCCCAGTGTAGGAAGCCCTAAGTGCCCTTAGGGCTGCCGTCCCGAGTGGCAAGTGGGAGCCTGAGAGCCGTGGGGCCAGGCCTGCGCCCAGGAGGACGCTGGCCCTGTCGTGGGAGCCGGGCCCAGGCCAGCTCCGAGCGCCCGCTGTCCCCCGCTACTGGGGAAGGGGTGGGGAGCGGCCCTGGCCCCCAAGTCCTCAGGGCCGGTGCCCGACACCGGGGGTGTCTGGGGCCCGGGACACACACCAGGAGCAGCCGGGGCTCCACTGCTCTTCTCTGCGTGCAGCCAGTGTTCTTCGGGCAGCACCTGGGCCCGGTCGCGAAAGGGTGACGGCCTAACCTGACTAGGAGCAGAGATCCAAGTCAGGAAAGCGGTGACACAGGCTGCGTCCCACAGGAACGGGGGAGACGGCAGCTTCTCCCACGGTGCACAAGTGACAGGAGCAGGACGGATTACAGTGAATCACTGGGCATCGTGTGGAATCCACGGGCGCGGCAGCTCGCGGAACAGGTGCTTGTTCTGACCACGACGTCGACAACATAAAATCCGCGGGGACCTATGAAGAGAAGACTGGAATCTTATGAAAGCACACACAGCAGGATCTCAACAGCCGTAGCACAGAGGAAAATGCACAGGGCATACGAGCACAAATCGCTCGGTAGCGACACGCTGACAGCACCGAGATGCTACTGGAAGCAACTTATGGAACATCCGTAGCAAACACACCAGCATGACTTACAATTCACGCCATATGATCATTTATTAGAGATGTTTTTAAAACGTGTAACGCTTGAGGTTATTTTGAACTATCTTTATATTATTAGCTACTAATTTTATTACATTGTGGTCACAGAACATTGTCTCAAAATGATTTGTTGTGATGTATTGAGAGGTTTTGTGAAATAGTTCATGATCAACCAATTTGTGAAAAAAAATATAATGGAGAGATGGGCACAGTTACAGATATAATAGACAAAATAATAGGATCATATCGAAAACTTTATTCTGATAATACTGAAAACTGAGGTGAAAGTCATTCATAATAAAGTTTTTTAAAGTCCGAATTGATTTACTACATTAAGGCAGAATCAAATCTATTTACCCCCAAGAGTCTAGTTGGGCAGAGGGATGGAGAGATGGACAGATCCGTGATAAAGCAAGTAGAGTAAAATGTTAGTGGTACAATCTAGGTAGTAGGTACAGGGACCTTCACTAAAACTCATTCGACTTTGCTATATGAGAACTTTCACAGTAAAATTTTGTGGGAAAATTCTAGATACTTATGTAGTCAATTTCTCTCGACTCTTGGAAGAAAGGTAATCTATAGCAAACAGAAATGGCTTCAGGGAATAGAAAAAGTGGGAAAGATATTTAACTCACATGATGAGTATCATAACTTTGATAAGGAAATTGGACAAAGACAAAGAAAGAAAAATTATAAACTAATATTATAGATGAGATTGCTGCAAAACATAAGAAAATAGCTTTATGCCATTGGGACACAGGAATGGGTTTCCTAAATGAGTGCATAGAGTATATCCATAAGGGCAAAAAGGGCAGAAACCACAAAATGCTAAAGAAAACAACTCATAAGTTTTACTACATTAAAATTAACAAATTGGTTCAAAGATAATCCATCATGGAAAACAACAACAACAACCTGCCAACCAGCATGAAGACTGTTATTTAAAATATAAATTAAAAAAAAGAATTACTATGAATCAATAAAAAGAAATAGCAGAACATTAGGGAAACCCAATTTATAGACACGTCAAAGAACATGAAATTCTGAGGGCTGGCTAATAAATATATGGAAAAATGGTCAACCTCAGAACATATTAGAAAAATGTTAAAGCAATATCAAGACAGAATTCCTATGAGAATGGCAAAAATTGAAATGTCTAACAACAAACGTTGAAAAGGATGTGGGCAAGTGAGAACTCCTGTATGTTGTGGGCAAGTGAGAACTCCTGTACGTCACTGCCGGGAGGATAGACCCATACGGTCACTCCTGAAAGCCGGCTCGGTGATGCCTAGTAAAACTGGAGGTGTCCGTACTCTGGAACTGAGCAATTTCAATGGTACCGATCTTCTCTGGAGAAATTCATACGTGCGCACAACGAGCCATGGGCAAGAATATTACAAGGGAAAAAAATATTGTCCACGACTAGAGGAGTTGATAAGATTGTCTTTTAACATAAGATCTAATGCTATACAGAAATTAAAATGAATAAACTAGGCCTATTAATACAGTTATTATAATAATTATCTGTTAATATCTAATAATACACATTGATACAGTCCCTAAGAAAAATATATTGTAAAAATACACTGATAGAATGAGAAAAGTTATATAAAACTTAAAAAAAACCCACTCTCAACACAGTATTATAAATTGCTTATGGATACACATAGATGTTGAGGACGTATGGCATCGTGGATGGATGACAGTGAGGTCAGTGATTACCTCTAGTGGAAATAATGAGTTTTGGGGGGCTTTAGATGTTATTTGGAATATTTATTTCTTTTTGGAAAAAATACATGGAATGAACATTATACATTGTTATTAATTTTAAAGACCTGCATCGTGGAGTCATGGGATAGTGGGTGTACTGGTATTTTTACTAATATTTTCTGTGCTTTTCTATGTATTTGAAGTCTTTCATGGTAGAAAAAATAGATAAAAATAATTGATAACATGGAATATATTTCAAAGACAATGATGGGATGAGCACTGGGAGTTATGCTATATGTTGGCAAATTGAACTCCAATAAAAAAAAAAGACAATTATAGTCATTCTTTAGATAAAATATTGAGTCAAGCCAGTAGGATACCAAACACCTGAACTAAATGAAAGTGTGTCATTTCCCCTCCATCTGCCCTCCCCACCTCAACTCACCCCCACTGCCCACCCGGGTTGTAACAAGACTTGCTTTTCCTGAGTAATATCTTGTGATTATTTTATAGGATTTTATTACAGAGCATTCTAAGAAACAGCTCTGGAGCTTCACTATTATATTAATGTCATGAAGGCTGGGATCCTCTTTAGCACCAAGGTAAAAAGACACCTGACTCTGTGCGACAGTATCTGAAATGCACTGAAATGCATTTAGCATCAACTGATATTCCTGTATTTATTTTCCCTATACTCTTTCTTCCTCTATTTTTAAAAATTATCTTAGATTGCAATATCTATAATCCAATCACAACCCTTTTTGGAAGGAAGTCCAGGGTAAAAGTTTAAAAATAAACAGAGTAAAAGAAATTATCAAGAGGATTCAACAGGAGTTGATTTTCTGACCCTACTCTTGTATAAGAGCTGTGATCCCTATAGGCAAAAACGTATTTTATAAGCAATAATAAAATAATGAGGACGATTTTAAAGTGCTTCCTAAAAACTAAATACATGCACTATATCTTGTACTCTCAATAGTATGACATTTTACAGGGGCGAGTGGCAGAGACAAAGGGAGAAGCAGACTCCTCGCTGAGCAGGGAGCCTAACGCCTAACTCGGGGCTCGATCCCAGGACCCTGAGATCACGATCTGAGCGGAAGGCAGACACTTTATGACTGAGCCACCCAGGCACCCCAGGCCTTGGGATTTCCTACTCTCAAACCAGGTTCTTAACATATATATATATATATATATATATATATATATATATATATATATATTTTTTTTTTTTTTTTTTTTTACTTTCCTAATCTTAAATTAGACAACAGTACTCTGGCAAATAATCTAAATCCAAGGCATCTCGATAGTGTTTGTTTGTTTATTTTAAGGATTTATTTATTTATTTTAGAGAGAGAGAGAACGCATGAGGGCCTGCACGTGGGCAAGAGTGGGGTGGAGGGAATCTTCCAGCAGGCTCCTCATTGAGCGCAGAGCCCTTCTCGTGACCCTGGGTCACGGCCTGAGCAGAAACCAAGTTGGTGACGGAACCGATTGAGCCCAGGTGCCCTGGATGATACTTAAATATTATACAAACATGTTCCTACCTTATCTTGTACTTCCCCACCCCAGGCTTTCATATTCCACTCACTCGTTCAAAACAACTTGGTCACACCTTCCTTATAATCAGCTGGTCAACGAGCTCTTCATATCAAAGATCTTTGAGCATCCACATTTATACAAAAAAATGAGAATGTGGACTAAGTGATCTTTTCCGGATGATCATTGTTTATTCTGATTTTTTTTTCCCCTAAGAGTGACAGAAATATTTATTACAATGCTATGTTCTCACAAAGAATTCCTAGAACCGATCGCAAAGTCTTGCTTGAAAATAACGCTTTGTACAACAGGCTGAATCAGCCCCCAACTAATTCTAGCCTCTGAACGGGAGTGGCTGTGCGTGTGTGTGCATGTGTGTGTGCGTGTGAGTGTGTGTGAGTGTGTGTGTAGGGGACGTGGCTGATTTCCCAACTCTTCCTGGAATGTTCGCACGTAACGCTGATAGGAATTAAGAACAACACTGTGGAAACAGAGAGCACTATCAGATCAGCTCTTGTTATATTTTTTTCTGAGGGAATTAGAAAAGGGGATAGAAAATGTCAACAAGAAAATTTTGGAAAGTCTAATTCACAAGCTGACAATTTCCCACAAGCGGGAGTCAGAGCATGAGCTGATGGTTGCGTTGATGGTTCAGCTCCTGCTGCTTCGCCTCACATGTGGCACGTCCCTGGACTCCGCTGAGAACGAACAATGCGAAGGTTCGTGGAAAACAAGAGGTCACGGGGGGGGGGGGGGATGCGTCCTCCAACTCACACATTCTGTGGGCTTGATGGAAAGGTGTCAGCCACCCAGATAGGAAGAATGAGAACAGACGGGTCATGAAGGATGACACTAGGAAGGGAAGAGGAGGCCCAGAGCTGCTCCCTCCGGGGTCACCGGGTCACCACGGTGCCTGCGCAGCCCAGGCGTCTGCACCTCTGGGTGCCCCACTGCCCCGGCACCTTGCAGCGCAGCCTCGGGCCCCACACCCCTGCTCACCGTGATCTCCCGTTGGCGGTGGGGGGACTCAGAGCCACGTCAGCAGCAGGTGTTTACAGGGACTCCTGCTAAACTCTTAGCACCTCGGGAAGTGCGACCCCACAACCCTGAGAGGCGCCTGGGCCTTTCCACCGGGCGGCCACGGACACGCAGGGGCTCTCTAGGCCCTAGAAGGCCCCAGCTTGGTGCAAAGCAAAGGTTGTTCTTTTTCAGTGCTGAGTGATGTTCCCCGGTACGAGTGTGTCGAAATGCTCCACCGGACGAGCTCTGAGGGTCAGCAAGTCTGTTTCCAAGGTCTGACCTTCACTCCTATATAGGAGAACATACATTCTTGTTTCCCCGGAATAAATGTCCACAATTGCAATTTTTGGGTCATATAGCAGTTTTGTGTCCAATTTTTTGTTAAGAAGCTGCCGCTTAGTTTTCCAGGGCAGCACCTGTATGCGTGGCCGCCTTCCTCCGCTCCTCGCCAGCATTTTGTGCCATCATTATTCTTTATTTTAGCCATTCTGATGCGGGGCTGGTAATATCTCACTGTGGTTTTAATTTGCATTTATCTAACG